CCATTTCTCTGAAACCTGCTCTGCAATTTACCGAAGGCTTTTGCCCTTCGGTAAATGCCCACAGCATGTCATTACCGAAGGCTTCTGCCCTTCGGTAAATACCCTCGTATGGCCATTACCGAGGGCTTCCGCCCTTCGGAAATTATCGAGGGCTTCTGCCCTTTGGTAATTACCGAAGGCTTTCAGCCCTCGGTAATTACCGAGGGCCAGGTAATTACCGAAGGCTTTTGGCCCTCGGTAATTACCGAAGGGCGGAAGCCCTCGGTAATTGTTAGCGACAAGAGATTTACCGAAGGATTTTTGGCCGTCGATAAGCATTCGGTAAACACCCATTATCGACGACCTTTGGCATTTTCCGAGGGCTTCTGGCCTTCGATAATACCCTACTTTTTTTGTAGTGAAAGTTGTTTATAAAACGATCACAAGAAAGCGATAACCTATCATATCAATTTATCACCAGGGATATAATCTGTTACAATGAATTTTATGTCTGAAATTGTGATTAGGAGAAACATCTTGTAATTATCCACCTTTATAAGATAAATTATATATCTATTTATATATTATAAATTCATTTTATTTGATATAAATCTTCAATACATTCTCAAGACTAAATATTAGTAATTGGTTCAGTAATCATAATGATACGAGAGATTTAATAAATAACAAATTTGGGTACAATAAATTATAATATTATCTTAAGATATAAATTTTAACCTAATTAATCTTTAACTATTGATTTACATCACTTATATGTAATTGAGATAGATCTCAGATTGCACATCATTCTATTTTTTTTTTCTTCATACGCAAGAATATATAGACTAAATTTATATGTGAAAGAATACAAATTTAACAGCAGTGATTGGAAGGTTGCTCCAGTAATTAACAGCATTTCTCCTACATCTGGCGCAGTTTAATGTAGTTCTAAAGCAAATTACAGTACTGGTGTCGTTGATTTTTAATTCGATACATAACAACTGTTAATAAGTCTGACATGATATTATAGATTCAAAAATAAGAATTCCAAATTTAAATAAATGAAACACAGAGCCATTTTTACAGTAATCAAAATCTGTCCAAGTTATAAGTAAAAGTATATTTAGATTATTTTTATATTTACCTATTTCTTATTGGCATCCGTTATGTCACTGCTTGTCATGTTGCTAATACTTATTCTTGTAAGTATAATTATATTTATAGTAAAATGAAAATAATTACTTTGTTAACAAATTACTATAATTTGTTAAAGTCACACCAATTACAGAAAAATAATCTGAAACTACGAGGTGCGTCATTTTCTTTCCACGTTCGAGTTTCTTACATGAGAAACTCTTGGAGGAGACTATACAAAAATATATAGAAAATTTAAATGGAAATTTCGAAAGTGAAAAAAATCAGGGCATTTATTTATTATATGATATAATAACTGGGCAAAGACCACGTGGATCATCAGATCAGAACAGTGCATAAAAACATTGAATATTTAAAATACAAAATAAAAAAGAAAGCGAAACCAAATAAACACAACTTTCGTAAAACACGTTCCTCTCTTCACTGTATAAACCCTATGGTGCTTCTTCCTTCCATCAATCCATCCCCTTTATTTGCACACGTTCTTCTTCAGATCCTGAAAAACCACACGTATGCACGTATATCATTATTTTATCATAAAAAATTCGTGGAGAAAGTTTTCACATTAGGTATATCTAATGCATCCTAAAACGAACAAGTTTTTTTCCTACATAACACATCTACAAAAAAACGAATAAATCAGAACATAACACATCTACCAAAGGAGGGAAAGATTAAAAAAATAAAAGTATATGGTAAATGTAGAACATAAAAATTTAAGATTGTTGTAAGATATTCATAGAAGTCCAATTTTTAATTTATTATTATGTTCAAGGGTCTATATGCAACCGTGAGGATGCTATTTATAGATAATTAAATATTTCATACTTTCATGATAATAGAAAATATAGTTGTTATTGCTATGCACCATAAAATTGTAGAAGTTTTACGTATAGTTGTGATTTAAAAGCTTGATAGAAAGAACATGGAAAGCATAGAGGTTTTGTATACGAAGCTTGGCTTACCATGGGGTGGTATAGTAAATCGTGTCTAGTAGTGGTGAGGGGGAGGTGGTGATGAATAGACGTATGGTGGTGGAGGAGACTTGTAATAG